TGAGTGAGTGTGTGTTAGTGACTGAGTGAGTGTATCAGTGACTGAGTGAGTGTGTGTTAGTGACTGAGTGTGTGTGTCAGTGACACTGGTGAGGGCAGAGAGAGCAGTGGCAGTGGTGAGGGCAGAGAGAGCAGTGGCAGTGGTGAGGGCACATTCACTCTTTTGCTTGTAAATTAGTTTGTCTTAAACTGTCCTAAAAATCTCATTTCCCTCTCAGTCTGTGACGCAGCCGATGGGGACGTTCTCACAGATACACAAATATCCGGACGTCACTCTGACAGCAGAGGCCAATCATTGCTGTCAGCCCTGAGCTCCTGAGGGCAGGTGACAGACGCTGATTGGCAACACACAAATATTCATCAGATACATACACTGAGCTCAGCCTCTGCTCCCACTATTTGTTCTTTGTCAAACATGATTTGTCTGTTCCATAAATCTCCTTCTCGCTGCATTTCTTAATGAAATAAAATCTTTCCCCCCCACCCCCCAACAACGCTATTGTCCTTGACCTTAATGGCGAGCGAGTGGATTAATGATGTGATGGATGTGCCCAGGGCTGGTGCTGCCCCCGCACTGGGAAACAGGGCAAGAGCATCAGTTAAAAAAATGTGATGAAATGTTCCCTTCCACCTCACACGCCGGGGCTACTGTATGTGCTTACGTTTGCTGTGCAGCCCCTTACGTTTCACCCACAAAATATACAGTCAATTCACTTTACAGTACATTCTGTGAAGCGCTTTGAGTTGTCTTGATGACATGATAAGGCGCTGTATCAAAAGCAAGGATTATTATTACTCTCCCTGTGTGTGTGTGTGTTTCTACAAAGAGTTGGTGAGGATAACACTTAGTGAAGCGAGCTGTCGAGTGTCCAGGCTGGGGGTTGGGGTGGGGGAAGGGTTGTTGTCATTGGCTGGAGGCTGAGGGGGAGCGAGGGCAGGAGCTGGGCTGTTTGCATCGTAATGAATCACCGCTGTGACCAGGAACAAAGCTTTCAGGGCAGAGCGTAATGGGACTCCCATCCGCCCTGGCCTCAGAAACAGCAGCGCAGGCTGGCTGCCCCTGCACACCATCCCTCCACACGCCCAGGTCAGGCTTAGAGACACAGTAAAGCTCCAAAGTTATTCCAAAACACAAATTAAATGGCTTATCGACTTTGATGTGAGAAGGCCCTGTATGAGACGCAAGTGCTTTGTTTAACCCCTTTGCCCCAAATCATGCCTTAACCCCAGGGTGAAATATTGGGCAACAACAACAAAATTACATGTATATAGTGTCTTTCATGTTGGGAGGACGTCCCAAGGCACTGGACAGTCAATGTTTTGGACCCGACTTGGGTGTCAGGATTGGGGAGGGTGGAGGGCAGGGGGGAGAAGGAGGGTGACTGATAGCACGGTCGAAGAGGAGGGTCTTGAAAAAGGCAAGGGAGGCGAGGCGAGGTGGAGAGGGCAAGTTTCCTTACTCCACACACCTCTGTTTACCAGCAGTACGTAGTATCCCAGTTGTTAGTTGATTGGTGGATTACTTTTCTGGGGGTAATAAACCCTTCAAAAAATAACAGTAATGTGGTCACTCAATCCATGACTGTTTGTCAGGCATTGCTGTGTGCATTTGGCTGCCGCGTTTCGCCCACAAAATATACAACAACAACTTGCACTTATAAAGCACCCTCCACGCAGGGCAATGTCTCAGAGCTTAACAGTGGCGGAGCCTGACTCTGAGCCGGGGGAGGGGGCTGTAAGCACAGTCGAAGAGGCAGGTTTTCAAGTCCTGCCTGAACATCTTCCTCTTTGACTGTGCTTACAGCAACTTCCCCACCCCACTGTTACACACTCTGAGATGCTACCCTGCGTGGTTACCCAAAATACAGTCAATTCATTTTACAGTGTATCCTGGGAAGCACTTTGAGACGTCTCGAAGACATGATAAGACACTGTATCAAATGCAACGATTATTATTATAATGTAATACCCTCCCGGCCCCCCACCCTCCCTAATCCCAACCCCCAGTTCAGGTCCAAATCCCTGAGTGTCCAGCGCCTTGGGACATGCCCCGGACGTGAGTGGCGCTGGGTAACTGTCATCTTGTATTTTATGTTATTGCAATAGGAGATGCCAAGGCTCAGGTTCATGTCTTTCTGCTGGAGTTGATGCTTTCTGCTCTGATCCAATTTACTGCTGACAATTTGACGTATTTGCGGTGACTGGAGTATTGAAGAGAATTTGTGTGAAGCTTCCTACTGAAGTTGTCTTGACTAAAATGTCCTTGTGAGCAAGTGCCTTTCCTCCTCTCCATTCTTTGACGAGAGATGTTAATTGAGGCCAGGAAAAAAATCTTGCCAGAGAGAGAGAGCTTGACTGAGCACCGTGCTCAGTGCTGAGGCAGAGAATGTGCCCTTCAGCACGTTCTAGAAACATCAGTGCAGGTCAGCACTTTTGTCAACATTTCACTGCTCCTTACAACAGGGCATGGCTGACTGTCCTGCATGAAAGGCGCTAGATAAAGTTGTTGATGCTGTTGTTTTGTTTTACGCCAGAAATTAGGAACCTCGGAACATGGGAACAGGAGGAGTTCATTCAGCCCCTCAAGCTTGTTCTGCCATTTTATACCTCCGGCTCCGGTCTGCTCCACATCCCCCGCCCCAACGCCCGACCATCGGTGGCCTTCAGCCTCTCAGCCCGAGGCTCTGGAACTCCATCCCCAGTGCTTCGCCGCTTCCTCCCTTTCCTCCTTCAAGGCCGGTCTCAAGACCTTTCTCTTTGACCTTCAGCCTTCAGCTCCCTCTCGACTCTCTTCCCCTCCTCGCTCCCTCCCTTCCCTCCCCTCACCTGACCATTTCCCCCCTCCTCGCCCCTCCCTTCCCTCCTCACCCTGACCATTTCCCCCCTCCTCGCTCCTCCCCTCCCCCTGACCATTTCCCCCCTCCTCGCTCCCTCCTTCCCTCCCCTCCCCTGACCATTTCCCCCCTCCTCGCTCCCCTCCTTCCCTCCCCCACCCTGACCATTTCCCCCTCCTCGCTCCCTCCCCTCCCCTGACCATTTCCCCCTCCTCGCTCCCTCCCTTCCCTCCCCTCCCCCTGACATTTCCCCCCTCCTCGCTCCCTCCCTTCCCTCCCCTCACCCTGACCATTCCTCCCCTCCTCGCTCCCTCCCTTCCCTCCCCTCACCCTGACCATTTCCCCCCTCCTCGCTCCTCCCTTCCCTCCCCTCACCCTGACCATTTCCCCCTCCTCGCTCCTCTCCCTCCCCCTGACCATTTCCCCCTCCCTCCCTCCCTCCCCTCCCCTGACCATTTCCCCTCCTCGCTCCCTCCTTCCCTCCCCTCCCCTGACCATTTCCCCCCTCCTCGCTCCCTCCCTTCCCTCCCCTCACCTGACCATTTCCCTCCTCGCTCCCTCCCTTCCCTCCCCTCACCCTGACCATTTCCCCAATGCTCGGGTCATGACCCAACTGTGCAGCGCTTTATAAATGGAATCTTGTTGTTGTTGTTGAGCAACAGCACCGCCCCACCCCCGTGAGGAGCTGTGCCCCCCCCCCGAGGCGCTGTGCCTCCCCCACCGAGGCGCTGTGCCCCCCCCCGAGGCTCTGTGCCCCCCCCGAGGCGCTGTGCCCCCCCCGAGGCGCTGTGCCCCCCCCGAGGCGCTGTGCCCCCCCGAGGCGCTGTGCCCCCCCGAGGCGCTGTGCCTCCCCCGAGGAGCTGTGCCCCCCCCGAGGAGCTGTGCCCCCCCCGAGGAGCTGTGCCCCCCCCGAGGAGCTGTGCCCCCCCCGAGGAGCTGTGCCCCAAATGAGTGTTTTGATGGTCGGTGGTTGTGGAGTGAAGTGACTGCTCTGAGCTGGGGGGAGGGGGGGCTCCTCATCGCCCTCTGGTGGGGTGGGGTCCGGGACCGGGTGTGACCCCACGCTCAGTCCGCCGCCCCGGGGGCAACTGGGACCAATGACTTCTTCATCAAAGGTCAAATGTGACTGCCGAGGAGAGAAAGTGGGGAGACCGAGAGCGCCGTGTGCACACGGTGCCACCCGGTGACTGGCATCAAGTTGGTATTGAGGGGGCGACACACATGTGTCCTGACATGTTTATTTGCGTGTCTGTGGTGTGGCTGACGTTACGTGTTACGTGTTAGAAGGCGGTGGGTTAAACACCTAATCAATTCCACACTTAAACTATCCACAATCCACTCCCGGGATATACACTGAACAATCAGGAAAGAGAAAGAAAAGCAGGAAAAAGAGTTGTGAGATAAGATGGAGTAGATTCCAGTGAAGGGGAAAGGACAAAGGGTCTCGGGTGGATGGGTGGAGTCTGTCCCCATGGAGTCTTCCCTTACGGCTGCCAAATGCCCTGCAGTCATTCGTGCCATTGTGTCGCTCACGTTAATGTACTAAACATTAGTTATCTCACAGCCTCTATTGCTGTCAGCAGTGAGGGAAGGACCTGTGCCAGTGACCAGCGCGTACTCAGTGACTGATGGCCTGAGCTCACACTCTCTTCTCTAATAAGTAGGAACCCGGTTGTTAGTCAATTGGTGGATCGCTTTCCGGGGATAATAATCCCTCAAAAAAATAATCATCTGTTCACTCAACCCATGACTGTGTGTGGGACGCTGCTGTGCACAATTGGCTGTCGCATTTCACCCACAAAATACAGTCAGTTCACTTTACAGTGTATCCTGTGAAGCGATTTGAGCCGTCTTGAAGATGTGATAAGGCGCTGTATCAAATGCAAGGAATGTTATATTATAAGAACATTAAACATTCACAGGTGATCTGAGGCTCACAAACGTTTCAATGATGACTCGAGGCCACACTGATCTCCCTCTCGGGGACATTCCCTCCGTTGGTGAGAAGCGAGAATTGCTTTTGGGATCACAAACTCAGATCACATTCACCTTTTCAGAATCTATTTGAAATGTGAATCACCCTCAGGCTGACACCAAGGGTGAGGCACATCATTGCGAAAATGCACCACAGAAATGGGTGGGATAGTGAGAGAGCCGGGGGGGGGGGGGGAGAGCGCTGGTGCTGGGCAGCTGATAGGATCAAGTCCATCTGTGCCTGATGCTTTCTGCTTGCATGTGGCAGGTAGATCTTCAAGTAAACATATCTACAGGATGATGCAGGAACTGACAGGGACTGATATGGGAATATCTGCATTGAGAGCCAAGTAAGTCGGTGACTGAGTGAAGGGAGAATGCAGGTGTGCAAGTGTGTATTCACGTGCGAATAAGTGTGGTGTGTGTATGTCTGTGTGTGTGCACCTCCTCTCTACCACCACTATAACCCACATGAAACTGACCACCTGCTCTCTCGACCACATCCCTATATCCCAGCTCCACCTCCCTGCCCCCCCCTCACAGACACCATAAACCTCTCCATGTCCACTGGCACCATTCCCACCCCTTTAAAAACAGCTGTCATCACTCCTTTCCTTAAAAAATCCTCCCTGAACCCATTCCTGCTCTCAAACTACCGCATCATCTACAACCTCCCTTTACTTTCCAAGAATCTGGAACCAGTCGTTGCTTCCCAGCTTCGCTCCTTCCTCTCCCGCTACTCTCTTCTCGAACCGCTCCAATCAGGTTTCCGTGCCGTCCACAGCACAGAAACAGCCCTGGTCAAAGTGACAAATGACATCCTGTCCATCTGCGACCAGGGTTCCTCGTCCTTCATGGTTCTGTCCTCGAATGGTTCAGATTGTACCTCTCACACAGTCTCCACTTCATCTCCACAAACCCCCTCTGCCCTCCACCTTCCCTGATCCTAACCCCCCCCCATCCCCCTGGGTCCTAATCTCCAAGTCCTTCCGACATGAAAGGCGCTTTACAAATGTAATTTTGTATTGTATCTGTGTGTGGTGTGAGTCTGTGTGTGTATCTGTGTATCTGTGTCTGTGTGAGTGAGTGTGTGTGTCTGTGAGTGTGTCTGGTTGTGTGTGAGTGTGTGTGGTGTCAGTAACTAGATGTAGCAGTGTGTCCATGTGTCAAACACCTGATATTCAAACAGTGAAGTTTCCTATAGAGAGAACTCGTGATGTTGGAGCTGTTTCTTGTCTCTTTGATCTTGGTTTGTAGTTCAGAGAGATCAGGAAGTCAGCGAATGTGTGAAAATGAAAGGTAGAGAGAGATAATAATAATAATAATAATCCTTCATTTGATATAGCGCTTTTCACGTCGGGAGGACGTCCCAAAGCGCTTCAGAGAATATACTGTAAAGTGATTGACTGTATATTTGTGGGCGAACGCGGCAGCCAATTGCGCACAGCAATGTCCCACAAACAGTCGTGGGTTGAAATGACCAATTTATTATTGTTTTGGTTTTGGAGGGATTATTATTAGGCTCTGTGTGGAGTAAGGAAACTTGCCCGAGGTTTCGCCCTCTGCCTGGGATTGAAATCAGGTCTCTCACTTGCAAAGCGAGTGCTCTAACCACTGAGCTACAGGAGATGGAGCGTATCAGAGTAAAATGAGAGATAAATGCTAACACTGCGAAGCATGGAAGGGACAGCATCTGGGCAGGATTTTTGTTGCTGGTCAACACAGAGGCTTGAAATTCTTCCTAAGTTTAGCTGTGACACTCTGTCTGTCTCACAATCTCAGGTGGCAGAAGATTGTGACAAATTCTTCAGTTTGGTCTCTGTAGTTTCTTAAAAAGAAAGTGGATGATCTCTCACCGATGTCTCGGAGTAAGGAGAGGATTCTGGAGCTGCCATATCATAATACGGAGTCTGGAGCGGTGTCTTCTGTAACTCCTCCTCCTCCTCCTTCGCACTGTCCAGGTGGACCACCTGAGCACAAGCAGATCCCGATCAAGAGAGAACAAACCATATAAAAGCGGTGAGGTGTGAGTTGTTGTTGAGTGACACTTGTGTGTGTGTGTGTGTGTGTGTGGTGCCGGTGCGCTTGCTGGGGAACGTCCCACAAACAGCCGTGACGTGAATGACAATTGTATCAGGGGGATTGTCAGCCAGGACACCGGGAGAGAGAGAGAAACTCCCATTTCTTTTTGAATAGCTCTGTGGGAATCTTTATTGTCCAGTTGAACAGACAGAGCTGGGACATAGCGCATACACTGCTCAGACCATGAGTTCAACGTTCCTGACACCACAACCTTCTGACTCAGAGACAAGAGTCCTGTTAACTGAGCCAAGATTTTAAGACAACAGAGCTCCACAGGCTAAGACTTCGGTGTTCTGTTCGACCCTGAGCTGTCCTTTCTTCCTCATATCAGCGCCACAACTGGCACCGCCTTCCATCACCTCCAAAACATCGCCAGACTACGGCACTACCTCACCCCTCACGCGGCTGAAACTCTGGTCCACACCTTTATCACCTCAAGGCCGGACTATGGGACCTCTCTCCTCGTCGGCCTTCTCCGGCCCTCCCTCCACACTGCAGGTCATTCAGAACTCTGCAGCTCGTGTACTGTCCCGCACCAGACACCGCGCCCACATCACTCCCACCCTCACCCTCACTCTCACCCTCACCCTCGCTCGCCTCCACTGCTCCCCATCCCCCAGAGGATCGAATTTAAGATCCTCATCCTCACCTACAAGGCCATTCACGGCCTCGCTCCCTCCGACCTCTCCGACCTACTATCCCCTACCTACCTGCCCGTACCCTCCGTTCCTCTGGCTCCGGTCTGCTCCACATCCCCGCCCCCCAACGCCCTACCATCGGTGGTCGGGCCTTCAGCCTCTCAGCCCCGAGGCTCTGGAACTCCATCCCCAGTGCCTTCGCCGCTTCCTCCCTTTCCTCCTTCAAGGCCGGTCTCAAGACCTTTCTCTTTGACCTTCAGCCTTCAGCTCCTCTCGACTCTCTACCCCCTCCTCGCTCTGTCCCTTCCCTCCCCTCACCCTGACCATTTCCCCCCTCCTCGCTCCCTCCCTTCCCTCCCCTCACCCTGACCATTTCCCCCCTCCTCGCTCCCTCCCTTCCCTCCCCTCACCCTGACCATTTCCCCCCTGCTCGGGTCCTGAACCACCTTGGGACGTCCACCCAACGTGAAAGGCACTCTATAAATGAAATCTTGTTGTTGTTGTTGTAAGACCAGCTGCAATTGAGGGAAGGAGATGAAACGCCTGTGGTAAAGTATGAGCTGATGTCAAGTGGTCTCCAGTGACGGTGGCATCGATTTCAGGCCAATTAATCCTATTACCAGCTATTACCATTCCCTACCTCTGCTTTAGCTCAGACACTGACTGGCAATTTACTGCAATTCACAGACATAATTTAATTCTATAAACTACAGCAATTACATCTGATCTAATCTGGGCTGCTCGCCTCACACAGTCTCCTCCCCCAGCGAGCAGCACACGGAAAAGCAAAGACTAATAATAATCAACCAAAATATATCAGACTCTGTTTCCGAAGATCAGGCTTCCTTCAGTCATCCATCCCTCGGCTGCAGATCAGCATCAATAATGCAAATCCCCACAGACGCCTGGGAGCACAGAAAGCCACGTCTATTAATTACCAGCGAGAGAGACTCCTGATCAATCTCAATCACTCGTCCCAAACGGATAGTGCTCAGAGGCTAGGGAGAAACACACTGTTTAAAATAGATTTTTGTCCAATCTTCCTCTCTGTTTATCCAGCATCTCTCTCCCAGCATCTCCCAGTCTGTGACCGTCTCAGACTCGGTCACGGTCTATCTCGGCTGCTGTCGGCCTACAAAATATAGTCACTAAAAAATCCTGTGAAATACTTTTGAGAAATTTCTTCATTCAACCAACAACTGTTTGTGGGACACTATGCAATTTCCTTGTGCGCAATTGGCTTCTGCGTCTTGCCCACAAAATACACAGTCACTACACTTTACAGTATATTCTGTGAAGCGCTTTGAGACGTCTCGAAGACATGATGAGGTGCTGTATCAAATGCAAGGATTATTATTAGTATCTCAATCTGTCTCTTCGCCTCATACTATCCTCTCTTTCTCGCCACTGCTTTTCCGTGTGCTGCTCGCTGGGGGAGGAGACTGTGTGAGGCGAGCAGCCCAGATTAGATCAGATGTAATTGCTGTAGTTTATATCCTCTCTTTCTCTGTATTCACTCAGAAATGGTGAATACAGAAATGTGTCTCTGTGTGGCGTTGGGGGTCAGAGCAGACACCAGGAAGAGCTGACTCAGGGAGCCGTTTGATGATTTGCTCCAGTTCCTTCATTGGAATCAGTTTCCTGACAGAACAAAAGCATTTCCTCTCTGTGTCTGGAAAGATCGCCCATTTCCTGAAGGTATCTGGCAGAAGTGGCTTCCATTGGACATGGGACAAAATGCACAGCTGTGTGGAGGCCGGGGGGGAGGGGGCGGTGTGGAGACCTAGTACAGAAACACTGACAGGTTCTGGCACTGCTCTTTATGCATCAATGAATGTCCTGGTCCCCAGCACTGTAACACAGTAACAGGCACCTTAGTAAGACAGCATCTCATGTCTCTTATTTCTTTAAACTTCTGTGACACTTTCTAGTCCGTTTCCTGAGCCAATATTCCAGGGCACTCACTGCTGAAGGCAGACCAGTCACTGGGGGCAGGAAATCCTCCCCCTCAGCTCCTGTTAACCCTGCAACAACAACTTGGATTTATGTAGCGCCCTCCACGCTGGACGGCGTCTCAGAGCGCTTCACAGTTTAGGATCCCAGGACCGAGCCAGGAGGAGGGGAGGAGCTGGGGGAGGAGCCAGGGGAGGGGGAGGAGTCGGGGGAGGAGCTGGGGGAGGGGAGGAGCCAGGCATGGAGCTGGGGGAGGGGAGGAGCTGGAGAGGGGGAGAAGCCGGGGAGGGGGAGGAGCTGGGGGAGGAGCCGGGGAGGGGGAGAAGCCGGGGGAGGGGGAGGAGCCGGGGGAGGAGCCATGGGGAGGGGGAGGAGCCGGGGGGGGGAGGAGCTGGGGAGGAGCCGGGGGAAGGGGAGGAGCTGGGGCAGGAGCTGGGGAGGGGGAGGAGCCGGGGGAGGTGGGGGGAAGGTGACCAAAGGCGCGGTCGAAAAGAAAGGTCTTCAGCAGCCAAAGCTGTAATGGGTCGGGTGGTCCAAGGTGGACAAACAGCGGGAAAGCGTGTCAGACAGTGGCATCAATGACAAGTTGTGTGGGTTTAGTTGGTTAGACGCCAACAATTGCCCCATCGCACACTCTGGGGTCCCCAAGCCTTGGCTCTTGCCAACCTGCGCCTAATACTTTCCGGAATTGGGTAAGTGGGGTGTATCCCTCCAGGGAGAGAGTGCGCACTCCATTCCAATATATATCTCTGAAATGTCTATGTGTAGGTGGGATACATGGAACTCTGTTGGCTTTGGATGGATCTTAAACACTTGCATCTCTGTCTCCAGGCTATCATATGCAGGAGGGAAACGGATAAGGAGTGGCTGCAGTCTCTGGTCTGGTTCAGAAGTTTCTTCAAGATCAGAAATCCTCAATTCCGGTGAGTCACGCCAACACAGCCCCCCCCCCCCATACACACACACACACACACACACACATTACCAGCACTGTATGGTGTCCAGAGTTTGCATTCCATACACAAACCTTCGCGGAAATTCCTGTGTGAAATATCCTGTGCTCCTATTTAAATGAATCAGCAGCTGTGAGATTTGCTCAATGTCTGGGGCGGCCTCTGAAGGGAACATTTCCCTGGAACAATATTGTTCCATTAATCCGGCAAACATTAGGATGAGAGAGTTTGCGATGCCTGGCTGCGCTCTCGCTCTCTTGCTCTCTCTCTCATTCTCTCTTTGCTGCTGCTCTTTATTTATCACTCATTGATGCTTTCTCTCCGGCTCAAGGAATATTGTTTTCATGATTTATTCTGTTATTTTATTGTTTCACATTCACAGTTTGGTTTCATTTCTTCGCCTCAGTTTTTTACCGGCTTCACCCGCCCAGGTTAGCGAAATGTCAGGTTTCAGTCACACCACAAACCCCACACCTGACACAGCACCTACAGCATCAAAGCCCGAGGTCCAAGGCCATTTAGGAGTGAAATCAGGAAGTATTTTTTTTACACAAAAGGGAGTGGAAATCTGGAACTCTCTCCCTCCCCAAAAGGCTGTGGATGCTGGATCCATTCACATTTTCAAGACTGAAGGGGACAGATTTCTGTTAGGTCAGGTTATCAAAGGATATAATAATAATCCTTGCATTTGATACAGCACCTTATCATGTCTTTGAGACGTCTCAAAGTGCTTCACAGGATCTACTGTAAAGTGAATTGACTGTGTGTTTTGTGGGCGAAACGTGGCAGCCAATTGCACACAGCAGTATCCCACAGACAGATCTTGAACTGGATTCTCTGAAGGATAGGGAGCCAATGGAGTTATAATAATAATAATAATAATAATCCTTGCATTTGATATAGCGCTTTTCACGTCGGGAGGACGTCCCAAAGCGCTTCACAGAACACACTGTAAAGTGAATTGACTGTATATTTGTGGGCGAACGCGGCAGCCAATTGCACACAGCAATGTCCCACAAACAGTGGTAGATTGAAAATGACCAATTTTATTATTGTTTTTTGTTTTTTTGGAGGGACTATTATTAGGCTCTGTGTGGAGTAAGGAAACTTGCCCGAGGTTTGGCCCTCTGCCTGGAATTGAACTCAGGTCTCTCGCTTGCAAAGCGAGTGCTCTAACCACTGAGCTACAGGACTCCAGGAGTTGGGCAAGAGTCGGGGAGATGATGTATCCCACAGACAATCGTGGATTGAGCGACTAAATTATTATTATTAATTTATTTTTTGAAGGGAGTATTACCCCCGGAAAGCGATCAGCCAATTGACTAACAAATGGGTTCCTACTTACTGCTGGTAAACAACAACAAGATTATATTTGTATATGCCTTTCATATTGGGAGGACATCCCAAGGTGCTAGTCAGTGTACAGTGGAAAGGGGATGGTCGATGGCATGGTCGAAGAGGACGGTTTTGAGGCGAGACTTGAAGGAGGCTACGGAGGGGGTGAGGGAGTGATTGGGGAATGGAATTCCAGAGGTTGGGGACAGAGTGGCTGAAGGCTCTCCTGCCAATGGTGGGGCGGGTGGGACGGGGGCGTGGAGCAGCCAGAGCTGGCTGAGCGGAGGGAGCGGGCAGGTTGGTAGGGGGTTAGGAGGTCGCAGAGGTAGGGTGGGGCGAGGCCATGGAGGGCTTTGAAGATGAGGATCAGGATCTTGAACTGGATTCTCTGAAGGATAGGGAGCCAATGGAGTTGGGCGAGAGTGGGGGAGATGGGGTCACGGAGTTTGGTGCGGGAGAGGACACGGGCTTCAGAGTTCTGGATTATCTGCAGCTGTGGAGGGAGGGGTTGGGAAGGCCGACACCAGGGCGTTTGCATAGTCGAGCCGGAGGTGATGAAGGCATGAACAAGAGTTTCAGTGGCCTGAGGGGTGAGGTAGTGGCGGAGTTGGGCGATGTTACGGAGGTGAGGGAAGGCAGAGCGGGTAATGGTTTGGATGTGGGGAAGAAAAGACAGTTGAGGGTCAAACAAGACATCTCGGTTCCTGACTGGTTGGTGAGTTGTAGTGTCTAACCATGGAGGTTGATGCTGCCGGAGCCTGAGGTGCGGAGGCGCTGGCGCGAGCCAATCTGGAGGGCCTCAGTCTTGTTCACATCCAACTGTTGGAAATTTGCCCTCATCCAGAGGTGTGTGGAGTAAGGAAACTTGCCAAACGGGATATAGGGCAAGTGTGGGTAATTGGAGTTGAGATGCAGATCAGTCATGCTATTATTGAATGGCGGAACAGGCCTGAGCGGTTGAATGGCCTCCTCCTGTTCCCATATGTTCCTATGCCTGGAGCTTTCTCTACCTGAATGTCATCCGCTGTCAGATGACTCTTCATCTCCATCTTCTTCTTGGGTGGTGGGGGTTTATGGGATGGCGGGAGATCAATGCTGTTTGGATTAAAAAATAGAAACATGTCAGTTTCTGCTCCGACAGATGCTGATGCTATTTCACATTATTTGTTAATGTTTATAACATGGTTTCACTGAGTGTGACAGAGCGAGAGGGACCGAGAGAGTGAGAGAGAAAGTGAGAGAGAGAGAGAGAGAGAAAGAGAGAGTTAAAGGGAGAGACAGAAAGAGAGAAAGGGAGAGGGAGAGACAGTGAGAGAGCAGGCAGAGAGAGAAAGAGAGAGAGAAACTGTCCTGATTCAGTGTTGTTTAAGGGTTTCCATTCATCACTGGAGGAGTAAGTTCCAGAGCAGACAAGCTGACTCTGCAGTAAATTGGCATATGGTAAGATGTCCCTCGCCTCCACCCAGCTCTGATCCTGTCAGACACCCTGGGCCCTGGTCAGTGTCCAAACCCCCGCGCTCTCCCCATAGCCCTGATCAACCCCACTCCCCCACCCTCTCCCCATAGCCCTGATCAACCCCACTCCCCCGTGCTCTCCCCATAGCCCTGATCAACCCCACTCCCCCGTGCTCTCCCCATAGCCCTGATCAATCCCACTCACCGACCCTCTCCCCATAGCCCTGCAAACATGTCCTCCCCAAATAATTATCTGCTTTTCTCTTAAAAATTATTGAATCGGCTTCCACCAGCCTTTCAGGCAATGCATTTCAGATCCCAACAACTCGCTGTGTGAAAACATTTCTCCTCACCTTCCCTCTGTTTCTTTTATCAACTATTTTAAATCGGTGTCCTCGGGTTCCCGACCCACCCGCCAGTGAAATAGTTTCTCCTTCTTCACTCTATCGAATCCCCTCATAATTTTGAAAACTTCTATCAAGTCTCCTCTTAACCTTCTCTGCTCCAAGGAGAACAATCTGAGCTTCTCTCACCTCTCCTGATAACTGAAGGCGCTGACAACATCAGCATCCAAGGCCGCACTCTCCACCTCTCAAAGCCATCAGGAACCTCGGGGTTCTGTTCGACCCTGAGCTGTCCTTTCTCCCTCATATCTGCGCCACAACTGGCACCGCCTTCCATCACCTCCGGAATGTCGCCAGACTACGGCACTACCTCACCCCTCACGCGGCTGAAACTCTGGTCCACACCTTTATCACCTCAAGGCTGGACTATGGGAACTCTCTCCTCGTCGGCCTTCCCGGCCCTCCCTCCACACTGCAGGTCATTCAGAACTCTGCAGCTCGTGTACTGTCCCGCACCAGACACCGCGACCACATCACTCCCACCCTCACCCTCGCCCTCACCCTCGCCCTCGCCCGCCTCCACTGGCTCCCCATCCCCCAGAGGATCGAATTCAAGATCCTCATCCTCACCTACAAGGCCATTCACGGCCTCGCTCCCTCCTACCTCTCTGACCTACTATCCCCCTACCTACCGGCCCGTACCTCCGTTCCTCTGGCTCCGGTCTGCTCCACACCCCCCGCCCCAACCGCCCTACCATCGGTGGCCTTCAGCCTCTCAGCCCCGAGGCTCTGGAACTCCATCCCCAGTGCCTTCGCTGCTTCCTCCCTTTCCTCCTTCAAGGCCGGTCTCAAGACCTTTCTCTTTGACCTTCAGCCTTCAGCTCCCCTCTCGACTCTCTACACCCTCCTCACTCCCTCCCTTCCCTCCCCTCACCCTGACCATTTCCCCCCTCCTCGCTCCCTCCCTCCCCTCACCCTGACCATTTCCCCCCTCCTCGCTCCCTCCCTTCCCTCCCCTCACCCTGACCATTTCCCCCTCCTCGCTCCCTCCCTTCCCTCCCCTCACCCTGACCATTTCCCCCCAATGCTCGGGTCCTGACCCAACTGTACAGCGCCTTGGGACGTCCTCCCGACGTGAAAGGCGCTCAATAAATGGAATCTTGTTGTTGTTGTTGAATTGTTCATTCCTGGTACCATCCTGGTCAATCTCCTTTGTACTCTCTCCAATGTCTTGACATCCTTCCTAAAGTGTGGGCTCCAGAACTGAACCCAGTCTCTCGCTGAGGCCTAACCAGTGTTTTTTAAAGGTTCAGTGTAAGTTCCTGACTTTTGTATTCTATGCTCCTATTTATAAAGCCTAGTGTCCTGTATGCTTATTTAACAGCTTTATCTGCCTGTCCGGCCACCTCCAAACATTTACTTATATGACCCCCCGGTCTCTCTGTTCCTTCACCCACATTAAGATTGTACCATCAGCTTATATTGCCTCTCCTCATTCTTCCTCCCAAAGTGCATCACATTGCAGTTCTCCACATTAAACTTCATCTGCCCCGTGTCTGCCCATGTTACCAGTCTGTCTATGTCCTCTTGCAGTCTGATAATAATAATAATAATAATAATCCATGCATTTGATATAGCGCTTTTCACGTCGGGAGGACGTCCCAAAGCGCTTCACAGAACACACTGTAAAGTGAATTGACTGTATATTTGTGGGCGAACGCGGCAGCCAATGGCGCACAGCAATGTCCCACAAACAGTCGTAGATTGAAAATGACCAATTTATTATTGTTTTGGGTTTTGGAGGGATATTATTAGGCTCTGTGTGGAGTAAGGAAACTTGCCCAAGGTTTCGCCCTCTGCCTGGAATTGAACTCAGGTCTCTCACTTGCAAAGCGAGTGCTCTAACCACTGAGCTACAGGACTCCACGGATACTATCTCCCTCACTATTTACTACTTTTCCTAGTTTAATATCATGCTCAAACTTAGAAATTGTCCTCCCTATACCCAAGTCCAGGTCATTTATATAGATCAAAAACAGCAGTGGTCCCAGTACTGCCCCCTGGGGGTCACCACTGTACACTTCCCTCCAGTCAGAAAAACAGCCGTTCACCATCACTCTCTGCTCTCTGTCTCCCATTCAGTTCTGTATCCGCTGCCACTGTCCTTTTAATATCGGGGCTTCTATTTTGCTGCAAGTCTCTTATGTGGCACTTTATCAAACGCCTTCTGAAAATCCACATAAACTACATCAACTGCACTACCTTCATCCACCCTCTCCGTTACTTTATCAAACAACTTTTGCCAGGTTTGTTAGACATGATTTGCCTTTAACAAATCTGTGTTGGCTATCCTTTATTAACGCATATTTTTCTAAGTGAAAATTTATTTTGTCCCGGATTATAGTGTCTATTAATTTGTTCTGGATTCTAGAACTTCCAGGAATGAGGGTAACGATACTCACAGGTCATTGTCTGTGTCCGTGCGGTTCTTCTGTTGCCGGCGGTAGATGAAGAAGACGGTGACGACGGCGCTGATGATAATGAGTGCGGCGATGATGCCTCCCAGGATCCCGATCACACTCCCAGGGGCTCCCTGTGGCAGTGGCTTATCTACACACAGGAAGAAAAGCAACGTTAGTAGCTTGTGTCAGGATCGTCCAGTGATGAACCTTTGTACTATAGCCTCAGACTGGGATAGGCCGCAGTCTGTCTGAAGCCGAGGCCTAGTGCTCTCAGGTGGGACGCTCCTGTCCTTGCGTTGCTGTCTCTCAGCTGAGCCTGGCTGTACTGCGGGGTGGGGGCTGCTGTATTGATGTCAGATTCCACGTCATCAATCAGTGAGCCAACCAGTGGCCTGAGCTGCATTGAAAGCCAGCCACGCGCATGTTCATTCCCATCCATCAATCTCCTGTTATATGAACTTGGATTGTGGGTAAACTGCTGTTATAAGGCGATTGCGGCATGTGCTCGGACTCAGTGAGTCTCCGGCTTAAAACCGAAGCCATCATGTTCGGGTCTCACCTCTCGCTCAGACCCCAGTTTCCCTGAGACTGTGTTAGGAGCACCTAGAGACCCACTGAGTAAATACCCCTCTCCACCCCCTGCAAGTACTGCCTGGCGCTGCCATTGAATCTAATTATGAAAGCAGATTCCTTTTTTCCACCTTTCATCTCAATTGAACATTAATATGCTTTAATTGGCAACAGTCCTGATTAGGCCAGAACGCGACAAAAAAAGACAGAAATTTATACTAAAAACACTCTAATTAGCTGCTGCTTGTGCAGGCGAGACCTAGTTTTCAGACCAGGAGCAGATCATCCCAATTTATAATCCAATTAACACATGCCTTACATTAAGCAACAATATGTAAATGAAACAAAGAACACAATTCCCTCGGAATCCCAATGAGTGTCTCGCTCTGTCACCAGCAGCCAACCCTGGATTGAGCTCAGAGGCTGAGCCATAAGAAAATACAAATTTCTCGATAAACAAGAACAAGGTCAACCTTCCACCATCCTGGCAGTTACTTGATATATCGTGTCCCAAACTATATATTGTAGCCAGGTTTGCATCCAGCCCCCAAGGTGGGGACGGGGGAACGACGACAGACTGGTGTAACACAGGATATGAATCACTTAATCAACAATCCTCCAAATAAAACTGGTCGCTCACTTCACAGCTGTTTGTGGGATGTTGCTGTGTACAAATTGTCTGTCGCGTTCGTCTACAAAAATGGACACTTTACAGAAAGTCCTGTGAGCAATTTGAGACGTCCTCCTGGTGTGAAAGGATCTAAGGTAAATTCCGGATAACACGTCAATCACGAAAGGAGCTCCGTGATGAGTTAGCAGGAGTGGCGAATTAGGTAGAGGTCTTCCCAGGCTACAGGGGGACACTATGACTGGTGAGGGAGCTTGGGAGAAGTTGGGTGCCCTTTGCAGATGCATCGCAGAGGCTTCTGGTCTATCATGGCCGCCCACCCTGACCTGTCATAGCCTCTGCCAAAGGAACAAACCACTTCCCCAAATCAGAGAAGCAGAGGGCATGGGCAGGAGATAGGAATAGAGAAGATGGGGAGGGAGGGAGTCAGTGAATGGTTAAGAACAGGATGAAGATCTTAAAGTCAGTTCCCTGGGGTAGGAGGAACCAGTGGAGCCTGAAGAGGAAGGATGCCTGAAGCTTTGTGCTGGAGGGCAGATGGGTTTGGAGCAGAGAGCAGCTACACAGTCTCTATGTACAGAGACCGACCACAATGTCACCCGACACCAACATGGGAGGTGCTGCGACAGCTGCTTGTGAGCAGCTCTGTGCTGAGGCACATCTTGTATCCGTGTCGCTGCAGATCACGTTGCTGGAGTCACTCACTCTAACATTCATTCTCTGTCGCTCTTCCCCTCACACTTGGGGGAGTGTGAACAGTGAGTAAACAGCATTACATGGAGCAGCTGCAGTCTGTGTAATAGGATCAAGATGTAAAACCGATTGCATAATTGGAACAAAATCTTTTCATAAATGAAGCTGCTTTCTCGCAAGTCCTATCAAGCAAAGCTATTCATCTCAATTTAGCAACAATCTGCCACACTGGTCTCTGCAGGCTCAGCTGGGCTGTTTAACATATTATTTAAGACTAAATTTTCAATGATCCTTTCACACCTGAGCCCTGAATTCCCTCGCGATCCTGGACTGAAAGACTATTGACATAAGAGTGTGCAGAATGATGCAAAATTTTGTTTTAATTTGGAAACCAGTTCTTAAAAGGCCTAATCCTAAATAAACTCCCAAATTACACTGAATTTAACTATTTACAGAATTTCTGCACATTCTTAACATTTTAAGACATTGAAGTGAAGGCTGAGGTGAGAGATTTCAGGGAGTGGCTAAGCCACGATGCTGGACGCACGACAATCACCTTATCATCTCTCATATTGTACAATAATATGATAATAATACACCTAGCAATGCAGGATGTGTGCATGAAGCCGAGAAGGGAATCTGATCCTATTGTTTATCTCCCACTGATAACAACAACAAAATTACATTTGTATAGCACCTTTCACATCGGGAATGTGTGAGTCAGTCGTCTGCACTGTGATTAATTACAGAAAGCTCCTCTCAGTGAAGTTATTGATCATTTATACATTGACCTCACAGACAGTGCTATTACTGGCTGCGTTATAAACTATGTGGCCACACAAGGTCTGCACTAAACAGCGGTGAGGAATTCCTGAGGCAGCGATACATCTATAATAAATATCAAATGGACAAATGACATAGAATTCACTCCAAAGGCAGAGTTGGGATCCCAGGTGTAGCTGCGCTACAGGCTGCTCATGTGGCACCCATCAGGCTAATGCAAAAACTTACCATCTTTTTAAATTATGCCAAAACTTTGGAAGGGGTTGACTTATAAGATGTTTATTTCGCCATGCACGGTTTGAAAGGTCTCACTAATGTGCTCAGACATTGCCTGATTGTCCTACAATGTGGTCCAGGGGTCAAGCTTCTACACTCAAAGCCACAGAGCTGTAGTTATTAACTGACATGATCTATCAGGTCTCCTCACTGCCCCGAGCCTGCTGCGTCCTCTCACCATTGCAGAAATTTCCCGACTTTAATGGTGGTGGAAAGTTCCAGGGAATTAGTAACCTACAGCACAGTGCAGCTCACATAATATTAATAATAATAATCCTTGCATTTGATACAGCGCCTTATCATGTCTTCGAGACACCTCAAAGTGCTTCACAGAATATACTGTAAAGTGTAGTGACTGGATATTTTGTGGGCGAAACACGACAGCCAATTGCGAACAGCAGCGTCCACACAAACAGTCATGGATTGAGTGACCAAATTATTATCATCTATTTTTTTGAAAGGATTAGTACCCTCGGAAAAGCGATCCACCAATCGACTAACAAGCAGTTTCCTACTTATTACTAGGCAAACGCAGGCGTGTGGAGTAAGGAAACTTGCCTTACTCTACCTGAGAATGGAACACAGATCCTCTCACTTATATGGTGAGTGCTCTAACTACTAAGCTGCAGGACTCCACACTTGTCACCCATTCCCCAAACACAGGAGCAAGAGGATTGATTCCATGTCAGAAAGCAGCCTACTTGTTCTCTGTGATAGTCTCAGACTTGTGAAGCCTCAATCAGTGCGGAAATGTATTTCACAGCTTGTAGATATAAATAGGAAGGTGTGGAGTGGTGTGTGGGAACCTGTACATATTTCACTGGTGAGAAACGCCTACACTCCATGGGGTTGGAGTGACGCTCAGTGCTGTAACAGGATACGTTTTTCACACTCACCCACGGCCCAGTCTCTCTGGGCTGTGCACAACCTGCCTCGTCTCTGTTGGATCCAGCTTCTTGCTCTGTGACCTTCACGAGGGCCTTATTACTGCTCCAAGTGACAGAATAATAATGATCCCTCGTGTGATATAGCTACTTTTAAGTCAGAATCACCGTAAAGTGCTTCTCAATCACTGCTGATCTCACCCTGAGTTGTCAGCAGGGCTTTGAATTGTTAACTGCACCGTTCTTTGATGAGATGTTAAATAGATCCCATCTATGACCAGTACAGGTGGAACTATTTTAAAAGAAAAAGGAGTTTCTGTCTACCAGTATATCCTGCCCTTAAATCCCCCACATCAAATTAATAATTTACTTCACAGCTGGTTTCGAGGTGTTGCTGTGCATAAATTGCTGCTGTGTCCACCCACAAAATACACAGTCACTGTGTATTAGAGTACAACCTGTGAAGCACTTTTAATGTTGTCGTAATGTCATGAGCCTATGTATCGAAGGCAAGGATTATTATTTTATATATATGCATGAATGTCAGTACGCAATGGGTTAAGGTTGACACTCACTCAGTGATATAGGGACAGGCTCTGACACTGGATTCCCTCTGCTCCTTACTCTGGAAAATCAAAGATGCCAGAGGGATTTATTATAAATTTATCCAAATATTCTTTAATCTGCTGCTAGCAAAATAAGCATTTTATTATTTTAAACATGACTTCATTACTCACATCAAAATCACCTGTATTTGTATAAATTACCATAATAAATACATCAGCACAATCCTTGTCACTTTTTTGTTGTCTGATTTCAAAGTGTGTCCTTTGAGCTCTCACTTTTATTGCTAATTAAGTAATTGGGGTTTAGTTGAAATGGTATCAGGGCAGAGAATGGATTTCAGGGCTTGTGGTTTGGACAGAACAGTGTCCCACACAGTGAGCTGTAGTGGCAGTGTCCCACACAGCAAGCGAGTGAGGATTGAAGACCTGAGCTATGTGCTGTTGGGAATGAGAGAGTTTAATGGTGCTGTCTCGCTCTTTTCCCTCCGGGCTCAGGTTCAGATAAATGATAAAGAGTTTCCAATTTCTGCACAGTTTGAAGTGAAGAAAAAAAAACCTCACTGCAGCTTAATCGTTTAACTTGGCCTCTCAACAAAAACAAGATAAATCGTTTAATTTTCATCTGGGCCCCGACTGATATAAATAC